TGTAGGATGGAGTTTTCCCTAGCACACAAAGATGAGACCCTAAATTCATTATTTGTGAAGTGTCCAGCTATTAAGATGTAGAGGACATACAAATGCCTCAACGGAGCCCACGGTAAAGCTCCTAAATATGGACTGGGGGTTGGAAATCCAGTCAGACAATCCCTGAGAAGGATTCAGAGATCACCAAATTGATTGTCAGTCATGATCTAAGCAAGTTTTTGCACCTGGACTCCAGAAGTGGAAGCCAGGGCTCACCATTACTCCCTTCTTTTGGGGCTGTCTTGTCCCCAAGGGATTCTCCACATCCATGTTGGAGCCCTGAGGATCCTTACTGCCTTGGGATCCTCTGAGTCAGGGCGATGTCTTATGGGGAGAATAGTTTATCCCTTGGCCAGCTAAGGGGCAAAATCCTGACTCTGGACTGAAAGTCAGTTTAGGGGCTGAGAACCACAGTGCTTTGTGCTTCGTGCTTCCTATTGTGCAGGAGGGAAACGGAGGCAAAGTGAGGGGAAGTGACTTTGCCAATGTCAGCTAGCAAATCGGTGGCAGATTACAGACTGATTCCCTTTTTTTCCATAGGGACTGTAAGCAATCCTAACTTCAGTTGAAGTCTCCTAGTCTGACAGGTGCCCAGCCCCTTGGAAAATCAGACCCTCCCGAGACCTGCTTTTAAAAGCTCAACTTGTTCAGTGGCAACTTCTGGGCGCTGATTGTTTCTGAAAATCTAGGTAGTGGTGGGGCTGGGCGTTGAACTCAACCCCTGGCTTCCGCCACCCACCAGACATCCGCAGTCCCTGTCCCAGATAGGGATGTAAGTGACTAGTCGACTCCCCGATAAGCCTAGGCTTATCAGATATTGAGTCACTACTTGCCAGGTCGCTTCCCCCCCTTTGCTGCCTGTGTATCTGCCAGGGCTCCCTGCAGCACGCATGGGGCTCTTGCTACGTTTCAAAGGCCAGAGGCACAGCACTTGGGACCTGACATGAGCAGGGACTGCCTGTGTCCCCACTTGCCCCAGGTCCCATTGTGTCTCTGCCTTTTAAATGTATTAAGAGCCACGGGCAGCTCTTTCTAAATTTAAAAGGCAGAGGCACAGCAGGGATAGCGAGTGCTACCCCCATCGGCTAATCGAGTAGTCGATGGAAATTCCATCGACTGCTCGATTAGCTGATGAATCGAAATGTAATATCCTTAGTCCCAGACCACCCTGGGCTAAAATAGCAGGGAAGGGCGTTTCCAAGGAAAACCCCTGGTGTTTCCAGTTGAAGGATGCAGGTTAGGAGCGGCCCTGTTGCTGAGTAAGTGGAATGGTCCCCGTGCTATTTTGACAGCAGCCCCATGGCCTTACATGCCATATGGAGCTCTAGGCAGCCACGACATACTCAGACTCTGGGAATGTGGCTCTGGAAAGCATTCTGCAGCCGTAAGTACCCTATTACCTCCTCTGTGAGGAAGGTCGGTACTGCTCTGCCCATTTCACAGACTGAGCCATACTGAGAGCACACAATGCCTGTGGCAGAGCTGTGAGTGCAAGACAGGAGGCCTTGGCTGTCAGTGCTGCCCTCATCTTGGTGAATCTGGCTATGAGTAAGTTTATAGCAAGCCATTTCCTGTCAGGACTAAGGAGCAGAGTCAGGGCCAGGCCTGGAGGGAAAGTGATGCACAAGCCAGTGCAGTGAGCATGAGTAATACCTTGGTGAGTCTGCAGAAGGGAGAAGATAATGTCTTGTAGTAAAGGCCAAGTCAGGAAGCTGCATCTCAGCTTCATGTCAGTTCATTGCTAACAGTCCTTACCTCTTTCAGTGCCCTACAAACTTTGCCCACCCAAGCAGAGTATGTGGACTCATCTGTATATGCCCTGGTGTTCCTCTACAGCTGACCGAGCTGGGATCAGTGCCCCTGCTCCACCCACATGGATGGACAGCACTTGTAAGGTTAATCCGCCAGCATTTACTTGCCCAAATCACTGTAAGCAGGGAAAACATGATTATAGAGTCACATGACACTAGTACACAATGGCTCTGAAATGAGCCAGATTGAATTAAGCCTCCTAATAGTATCACATCCAAAGTAAATAACAAAAAACCAGAGCCACCAGTGAGTGACATGTCTATCAGTCAGATCCTATTAGCAGTGCAGGAAGATGGGGTTAGCCAGTAATAGACGCTTCACAGCCATTAAATCAGATGTACTGGCAGGGGTACAGATGCTTTCAGAACTGGGAAGTGTGCGAGTAGTGTGGAGTGTCTGTGCTGAGCATAAAGTGTGAGCTACCTAGTTGGGCCCTTGAACCTGATGTGTGTTTAGTTCCCAGGAATAAATATATGACAGGTGTGCTCTGTTTCTGCTTCAAAATAGTTAATAGATAAGGTGCAAGTTGATGGAGCCCAAGAATATATAATGTGGTTTCTGGATTCTGTAGGACCAAGAAAACGTGCTGAACTCAGCTTTCTCTGTGCAGCTCCCATCATCAAGCTGTCAACAGGATCAGGACCTCCAAAGAAAATTGCAAATGTTAGTTAATTCTCCAACAGCTCTGTGATTCCAGAATGAATGTCACTCGTCTCGCTGATGGGGGAAACTGAGGCTCAAAAGGGTTAAGCGATTTAGCCAGTATCAGTGAGTGGCAAAATCGGGACTAGAACAGTACCCAAGAGATTGGTCTGACCACCTGACTTTATCTCCCTTCATCCCAGTGAGACCTGCTTGTGTGACTTGAGAGCGGTACGTGTCCGTAGCAAACTGGACCAGCAAGAAAATATCACATTGACTTTAAATAGAAGGAGGAATCAGCAAAGCTCTAGGCCGTATCTCAACACCAGGCTGTCACGCTGGATCAGTTACATCATGAAATTAGTACTGGAAGAGAGGGCAGCCTAGTGCCTGGAACCCGAGAATGAGAATGAACTCTGGTGCTCTAGTCTCCTGATGCCGTCTTCCTCTGGGTCTGGGGCAGAGCACTGAAATGCCTCATCTCAAAACAGCGCAGTACAGAAAGAGCTGAGCTGACGAGCAGTGGGGACCGTTACCCCATTTTACAGTTCGGGGAACTGACTTGGAGAGATGAAGGACCTTGCAGAAATACTAGACCACAAAAGCAACCAGCTGGGGCTTCTGACTGTCTTGGTTCAGATTCGTAGTGCAGAGAAAACTGAGTCACGTAACTGGGACATGGTGGAGGCCAAGGCAGGTCAGTGAATATCCCTGCAGTCCTGTCTGATCTACAGACTGGCCATGTTGTGATCATCTCCGCTAACCTGAAGGCATTAGTAGGGGCCTGAACCTCTTAGGCATATTTCCTAAACTGAGGGTAAGGATCTCCCCGCATGCCCTGCCTCTCTGAGCAGTTTCCGGCTGGTGCTCTGAACCAAGTGCTAAGCGTTGCTGGTTTCTGAGCAGAGCACAGAAGTCCTCTTGCTTCTGTGTGTACATTGCAGTCTTGCCCCTGCCTTTTTGATAAAGGGGTAGCAGGAAGGAAAGTGATGGGTATAAAACTTGGCACCTTCCTGCTTGTGCTGATGCTCAGGGAATAGCCAGTTGCCGTCTCTTCTGCCTGAAGGCTGTAAAGATTATTGCGCTCTTAGCCTCAGGAGTGTTCTGTGTCTTACAGCTCTGGTTTCTCTTAATGATTATGTCCCATGCCAATGAACATGATGGGATACAAGTAGCTGGTGTTTCTCTGCCCCTAGGGAGGAAGTGATTATGAACCTGCTAGCTCAGTGACATGTGAGCTAGGAAGAACATAAGGCTATAGAAACACTGAGGGATCAAAAACCGAAGAGCAGCAAACAAGTGTAGGACATCATAACCACAGTGTAAATGATTGGAAACTTTCCCCATGCTGGTCACTAACTGATATTTGATGAGACCCTTTGGTACTTGTAGCTACTGCTGTTGCCACGTGTGAGGTCCAGGATCAGTTCCAAGATTTTTATTCTTTTAAAATATTAAAAATTTTGTAGCAGCTTTCCTTTAACAAGGAATCTTGCTTAAAAACTAACAATATCTGCAGAAAGAAGCAGAATTTTAACACACTCATAAGTCATCTTCAAGTCCCATGGTGTCCTTCAATCAAACAATGACCCATATGATGTCCTGAAAGCTACATCTGTGTCTTGCAGACCAACCAGGACTTTAGAAAGCAAGGATTGATTCTGAATGCCTTAGCTCTTGTATCCCCAAATCAGTGACTCCCAACAGAGGCCTTACTTTCAGAGGATGGGTGCTTATTCTTGCTAGAAGTTAGGTTCTTTTAGCCTCAAGCTGGGAATTAAAATGATCTTTTGGAAAAGTACCAGTTCTAGTGTACAGTCAGTGCACACAGTGAAATCTGCTCTCAGGTATGGTGCAGTGAAATGGAAGGTGAGTTCCAAACTGTTCGGAAGCAGATCTGTGCACTTCACAATTCCTAGTACAATAGAACATCTATTTTATGACCAGTTTGGATCTAGGAATTCATAACATTGAATGTTGCAAAATTACAGTGGGTATGTTGCAGAAGTTGTAGTTTGGTGCTTGCATTGCTGTCTTGTCCTCAAACTGCAGCAGAGAGATTTTTCCGTGCAAAGAAGTCATCAAAATGTGAAGGGACAACACTGACATCACTTTTGTTCTGTGCTTATTTTATTTTTGTCTGGCTGTTGGTATGATTGGTGTTCATGAAACTTGAGGCTCTACTCTAAAGGATAATGCTTCTATTTTAAGTTAGTGAAAAGCTGTGTCTGAGTGGCCTCTACTGGCTAGAATCGGGCAGCATGATGTTATGTACAATATTAACACTCCTTTATTTCACGTGCGAGGGGCCAGGATTCTGCTGTTGCCACAATGCTCCAGGTGGCCAGAGCACAGCACAGTGACAGCTTGGAGTGGTCGGTGGCCGTGGCTCTGGCACAGTCACAATCCTGTGTCTTTGTGGCTGGGCAGTGGTTAGATCTGAGGACGAAGGCCATGCGCAGGACTGGTAAAATAAAGTTCCTTTCTTCCCATTGTTCTCGTTGCAGTGTGTTACTTACTGAAGAACAATATCAGCCCAGACCTGTGTAATGAAGATGGACTCACTGCACTGCATCAGGTGAGGCTGTGACCTACCCTCGCCATTCTAGGCTGCTTGTTCACGGTGCACCTGTGTGTGTGCAGGGCCATCTGGGAGCACACCTCACAGGCAAGGCAGGGTTCCTTCTCCACAGGGATTTAACTAGCTTTTCCGTAAAACACCTCAAATCTTCAGGTGGCAGTAGCCTGTCCTTTGAAGCTAAGCTGAGCTCGGAGTCCTCTTCCGCCACTCAACTTCCTTCTGTGAGAGGGGAACCCAGGACCAAAACACAGCACCCGTCCAGCTCCCCATGAGGCCAGGCTCTCGGCTCTTCAAGGCAAGGTGCCTCGACTGTCCCAGCAGGCTGAGCTGCTCCCTGGTTTTGAAATGGGCGTGGTTCAGTCAGTGCAGTCGCTGGTTAGGTCACTCGTTGCAGCCCTCTTGTGGGGAGACTCCTAGGCTGATTCAAGGCAGCATGATGCTCCCAGAGGTACCCAGCATTGTGAGGCACCTTGCCCTTGTCTGTATCTGTCAGGGTCAGCTCCCTGACGTCATTGGTCCCCTGGCAGCACAAGCTCCCGCCTCTCAGCCCACATGGGCTCTGCCGTCCCTCTGCAGGTAAGCAACAGATGCTCTTTGCACATCCCCAGGCTCGGCCAGACACTTCTCCTCCAGACTAGGGATGTGAACGGGTAACCGTTACCCTTACCGAGTGATGCTTATCAGGTACCTGTTAACCGGTTCCCTGGGGAGCAGCCTCCGAACCCACAACCTGTGGCAAGCAGAAGGCTACTTGAGCCCCACGCGGCTGGTGGCTGGGGCTGGGAGCCGGTGACAGGTCTAACCCATGTGGGGCTAGGATGGGAGCCACATGGGCAAGGGGGCTGGAGCAGTGAGGAATTGATTAACCAGGATTTTACATCCTTGCTCCAGACTATCAAAGAATTACCAGGTCCACTGTCTCTACAAGGAACAGTACAGCTCAGTTTGAGTTCTCCTTAGATCACAATGTCACTTAATACACAGCACTTAGACATTTTGTATAGAGGAAATAAAGTTTGTTTCACAGAGTAGTGATTTGTGCCATAGCAAACAAATATTGGGCACATGGGGTTACGTATAAAACAAAATCATCACGTACTCTAGAGCCTGATGCCAATAACAGATGTCCTCTTGTCTAATAAGGTACTGCTTACCCCGAAGGCCTTCCCACCTTGTTTTTCAGTCAAATGATTGTGACCCTTTTTGCCTGAGGTCAAACCCACCGGCAGCTTGCCTTCCCAGTGAAGGATATCGGGGAGTTCATCTGTGTTCCAGATATACTTCCAAAACTTCATTGTCTTTAATCCTAAACAGGATTAACCCCTGCTGCTTATGTTTTTTCCTGTAACCCCTGCAACCTAGCGATTAGCATTCTGTTCAGATTGTCGGTGGGTGTTTATTATGAACCACACAATACTCAGTTGGCACATCCCCAGCCAGAGAGAAAAGCGGGGATCACCTTTTTGTGACTTGCCAAGTTCTCACCCCAGGAAACACCGTTTTTAGTAGACATATGCATGCTGCCACATAGCTCGCAATGATTGTGCTGATCAGCACGACACAGGCTTTCATTAGAGGGGCAGCAGCCCCCAGGCCCAGGGGATCCCCGTGCCCTCTGCCAGCTGGCACGATGAGGCCCCTGGGTCTCAAGCACTTAGAGTAATTTTCCCAGTATCCACACAAGGGACTACACTGAACTAAACTACAATTTGTTAAGCCAAACCAATTGTAGTTCCCTCCCCCACTAATAAGTCCCAGTCACAAGAGAAGTCAGACTGCTCCTGGGCTCTCAGGAGTTGCAGTGATTGAAGTGCCAGCCGGCTGCTTCGTGCCACCCCTTGGAGGTTGGGGGGGCAGTGGATAGCAGTAGGGCAGTTGAGTTTCTGCTGAAGCCAGCTGAGCTCAGCCTCTCTGGTCTGCTCTGAATGCTCCCATTGATTTTTATGGCTGGAGCAAGGGTTGGTGTACAGATGACTTCCTCTCTTGGGGATGGAGGAATGTTTGCTGCACGAGAAGCTTTTTCTCCGCAGGGCCATTGTTCTGTAGACAAAGGGGAACATTTTGACACTGGTGGTTTCATTACTTTTCAGTGCCAGCAACCAAAATCATGCCAGGAAAACCCTGCCAAGCCCGAAAAAGGAACAGTTATTGGTAGGGTACATTTTGGGGTTAAGGCAAGAACCATGGCAGTCATTGAATCCTGGATGAAATACTGCACCAGGTGTGGTTACTGTGCCTTTAAGAATTGGTGTTTTTACAGAGGATGCAGCTTGTGGTCTTGTGATCACTTATAAGCTCAGAGTAAAAATTAACCCCTTTGTTTCTGTCCCTCACCAGTGCTGCATAGACAACTTTGAAGAGATCGTCAAGCTTCTCCTCAGCCACGGGGCGAATGTCAATGCAAAGGACAATGAGCTGTGGACTCCGTTGCATGCAGCAGCCACCTGTGGTCACATCAACCTGGTGAAGATCCTCATTCAGCAGTAGGTGGCCCCTGCTTCCTTCTTGTGTGTCTCTCGGTGGGGCTGAATCTGCACGGTCCTGGTTGCTTCCTGTGAGATACTAAGTGCTCTCAGCTTCCATGGTTGTTGCTAAGATTGGAGAACGCTTAGGCCTTGTCCACTTACTGGCACCGTCGATCTACTTCAGCTATGCAAATAGCGTAGCTTAAGTCGACATACTCACCATGGTGTCTTGCGTGCGATAAGATTGGTGGGGGCTGCTCTCCCATCCATGCCGGCTACTTGTCTTGGTGGAATACCAGCATCCAACGGAGCACACTCGGAGATTGATGTATCGCGTCTAAGCAGGCGTGATAAATCGACAGCTGGTGGATCAGTTGGTGCAGTGTCAATCCACTGCGCCGTGTAGATGAGGCCTAAGTACCTTGTAGGATCAGGCCAGAAGTGCTTGTTGCCCAGGTCAAGGTTGCATGCCGAGGGCTTGGTGTTAGAAATGGTGCCTGGGTTGGAAGAGTGGGGATAGAACAGGAGAAGACAGTAAAATAGGGGACAACTAAGATCTTTGCTTTGAAGGAGGCAGGTGCCTCTCTGGATTTGGATTTCAATGTGCAGTGTGCTGGCTGGTTATGTGTAGTTCACCTCTTCTCTATGGTCCCAGGCTTCTCACTCTAGGTGGGCAAGGAGCAAAGGTGCAGTAAGAGGACTAGCCAGGGAAGACAAAGGGTGAAACTCATCTCTGCACAGTGTCCCCACAGTTGTGCCAGTCCCTCATCCAAGGCCATTGACACAGGAAATACGAGGGGTTCACATAGCACAAGTGCTATAGAGACCCAAGCTGCACCACACAGGGCACCAATATTTGGGCCTCCCTTTACTCTCTTCCCCCTCCCAAGCACTTGGGTGAAGGCTCTAGGGTTTAAGCCTTTCATGCTCTCTGCACTCAGGTGATCAGGAGGCCTAGTGTTGTGGTACAACTTAGGGGTAATCACACTAAACTGTACTTATCTGAGGGAGGTTCAGTTACCAGACAGTTTTGTCCACAGGTGCTGCCTGTAGCATGAATAGCTTGCACCTTCTGTACTGGGGGCCATTCGTCACCTTGGCTGGAGGTCAAGCAGGCTGAGAAGAAGCCCTGTAGGCTTAACATGCTACTCTTCCCAAGCAGTGTCTGCCTCTCTTTCTGTGTGCCATAGACTATTGCACTGCTAGGTGGGAGACTTGAGTTCCAGTTATGGCCTCTGTTTCTTAGGCAATGGATCCTGCCTAGAAGGAAGATAATGAAGCAATGCTTTCTGTCTCTGAACAAACCCACCCATTGCTGGGAGCTTCCTGCTATTTCTTTAGCCTATAATTAGGTTGGAAAGGTTAGAATGACTGACACCCACCCACTGATGTTTGGAGCAGCTGTGTGTAGCCTCAAGGTTTGGACAAACCCAGGGATTTAATTGGCAGGAACCTGAAAATGTTGGGGAAGGAGGATAAAAATGGAGTACAGAAATAAATGGAACCTGGGAATGTATATTGCATCCTGGCTGGGCCCTGGAACATCCCTTCTTTGGTTATAGGAAAGCATATAGCAGGAGAGATAACAAGCCAGCTGGGAGCATCTGTTCTGGCCCATCCCAGTCAGGTGAGTGCAGACTCTCTGTTCACCTAGACACTTGCAAACCAACACTATAGTAACATTGTCCTACGGTCCATGTTTAAAAGCTGAGCTGCCAATTGCTTTCTAAAGCTGAGGGCTGACAGGTTTTCTGTAGTACCCGGCACAGCGTGGAGTTATTGTGCTCAGAGCCTTCTGCAACAGGTCTCCCATTCAAAGGGCTTGCTTACACATTGCATCCCAGGGCTTTGGTGCCTGAACAGAGAACCCACAGAGACCTCCAAAGCTGGCAGCTACTTAAGGATGTCAGGCCACATGCTTTGTTAGTTGCTTAAATTGTCTTCAATACATTGCAAGTGTCTGTTACATTGTAATATGCTCTGCTGATATGAAAGAAAAATGAACAAGCATATAAATGCTGGTGGATGCTGTCTGCCTTTCTTCCAAAGTTTCAGAGGGGTCTGTAACTTGAAAAACAGCGAGTAGTCCTGTGGCATCTTAGAGACTTAACAAATATATACAAGATCGTGAGCTTTCGTGATTCTCATCTGATGAAGTGAGTTTAACCCACACAAGTTCATGATTCTATATCAAGGGTGAGCAAAAGGGCCTCTGCGGGCGGATCCGGCCCTCCAAGCGGGTTGATCCGGCCAAGAGCACGTAGCACTTTGAAATGCTGTGCACTCCTCACAGGGCGGGGGGAGGCTTTGCACATTCCCCCGCCCCCAGGCCAGTCAGAGCTTGGGGTGGGGGAGTGCATGAAGCTTCCTGCGCCCTGCTCCCACCCTGCAAGGAGCGTGCAGCACTTTGAAGTGCCGCACAGTCCTCGCAGGGAGGGGGGAGGAAACTTTGCATGCTCTTCCTGCCCCCAGGCCAATCAGGACTTGGGGGTGGGGGAGAGTGTGAAGTCTCCTCCTGCCCTGCCAGGAGTGCTCAGCACTTCAAAGTCCTACGTGCGCCTGGCAGGGCGGAGGAAACTTCGTGTGCTTCCCCTCATTGGCCTGCGGTGGGAGAGTGTGTGAAGCCTCTACCTGCTCTGCCAGGGGCATTGGTGCTTAGTGGGAAAAGGGGGGGGGCAAAGGGCTCCCCCACCCCAGACCAATCATGGTCTGTGGGTAGGGAAACCCGGAAGCGTCCTGGCTCTGCCCCTTCCATTTTAGGCCCCTCCCCTTCTGGGGCAGCGCGGGGCCAATTAAAACATTTTTTAAGTGGCCCCCGGCCCAAAATTATTGCCCACCCCCTCCTATATACATATTTTCGTTAGTCTCTAAGTTGCCACTCATTTTTCTTCCAAAGCTGTAACCACCAAAGCAGATCAAGTTGTAGCTATGTGTATAATATAAAATACACGACCAATTTGCATAGTTTGAATACTGATAGGAATTATCCTGTTGGATCAGAGTAGTGGTCCATTTCCTTAGGTTCATTTTTGAGGGGTAACGTTAGTTGAAACCAAGGGGTTTGATTCGAACGAACGTGTCCCGGAGCGCACTTCCTGGTTCGAATCAGCTGGCGAGCGGAATAGCGCGCAGGCGAGATTATGCTAATGAAGCGCGGGATATTTAAATCCCCACTTCATTAGCAATTTCGGTCAGATACATTTGCATCCCTGGTTCGAACTAGGGAGCAAGTGTAGACGTGCCCATAGGGAAGAATCTGCCCAGAGAGGAATGTATTAGTTTATTCCCTGCCTACATTGCCATTAACCTTCTGGACACTCAGAACTTTTTAGTGAGGACCTGCCAGCCAAGTGTCCGCTGATTAGGGATTTGCTAATGGCTTGGTACTGTGTTCCAGAATGTCTCAGTGGCTCATCATGCAATGTTGCTTCTGGCACCAGTGGGTCATTGGCTTGTTCTTCCTTGAAGTGCAGGAGGGAGGCATGTGAGCATAGAAGGAGAGGCTGCTGGGCCCATACACAGCCCAGATCCATTACCCCCAACTCCCATGGTGGAGGCTCAGTGTGCTGGGAATATACCAGATTTGGGGCATTTACCTCCCTATGTCAAACTTCATAAGTTCCATGGATACTGCCATGTGTATCTTTGTGTCTGTCCAATCCTGAAGGAATTTGAAGTCCACATACGAGACATTATCATTAGAATCCCAGCTTGGTCTTCAGAGGACTCATCCAGCTGCCATTTACTGTTGGACATTCTCTGTTCTAGAGCAGCATCAGAGGTTCCCTTTCTCTTTGTATATTTGTGCCTTTTCTTCACAATGGTCTTTCTCTTTGCAGTGGGGCAGACCTGCTGGCAGTAAATGCAGATGGAAACATGCCATATGATCTCTGTGAAGATGAGCCGACCCTTGATGTCATTGAGACCTGCATGGCTTACCAGGGTAAGAAAGGATGGGAAGACTCAAGGTACAGTAGAAGAGTGTTTTAAAAAAAAAAAAAAAAAAGTATTGAATCATGGTTTTGTGTTCCTCCGCTCTTCATACTCCTCTGGAGGAAAGCAGAAGTCACTCCACAGCATTTCTTCTTGGCAGCTTTGGGAAGCCAGACTATCATGGGCCTAATCCATAAGTCCTTAACAGTAACCCACAGTAAAGGACTCTATTGAATCACCAGTCCTCTGATGCATACAGCCTCCCTACGGGGGCTCGTTATAGCAGAGCCCACGCTGTGAAAGGACTCCTAACAAAGGAGAACCTGCCATTTTCAAAGAGGGAGATGAACCCAGATCAAACAAGATTTGGGGGAGATTGAAATCTGAACCTGGCTCTGAGTTTCTCTTGTGTCCAGGCAGGCTAGCTGCTTTACCTTTCCCAGGACAGAGCTTTGGATCAGAAGTGGGGATGCGACTGACTAGTCGACTATCTTCTAAGCAAATGCTTATCAGATAGTTGACTCCCCCCCCCCCCTGCCCTTTGCTGCTCTATCAGAAAGAGGCAACAAGGGGTGGGGGAAGTGGAGGGGGTTCTTCAAAGTGTCAACGCCGTGTGGAGCCTGGGTCCAACTCCCAGGGTCCACACGGTGCTGCTGCTTTGAAATGCCTCGTGCAGCCTGGGGCCAGTTGGGAGCCCAGGCTGCATGCAGCATCGTCCAAGCGGCAACACTGCGTGGAGCCCGGGGTCAGCAGGAGAGTCCCCAGCTGACCCTGGGCTCCATGTGGTGCTGCTGCTTTGAAACACTGTGGGGAGCATGGGGTCAGCAGGGGACTGCTCTACTAGCCCTGTGCTGCCTGCAAAGCTTTCGCTTCTAAGGTGAAGATGCCCTACTGACTTAATAGAATAGTCAATGCAAATTGCATCGACTATTCGATTAGTCAGTTACCCGAAATTTAACATCCCTATTGAGGATTGAACTAAAGTACCTATGGAGATTGTGGAATCTCCATCGATGGAGGTTTTAAAGAACAGGTTAGACCAGGATAGGCAATAAGATGGCAGCACTTCACCAGGATGATCCCCTGGCAGGCTGCTGCTGCTTTGTTTACGTGCGCCTCTTCAGGTACAGGCGTTTGCAACTTCTGTTGGTCGCAGATCACTCTTCTGGCCAAAGGGAGCTGTGTGAAGTGGCCTGGACCAGGACGTTGCTTCCCGCAGCTGTTGCTGTGTTTTGGGAGTTCCACCTGGATGTAGCGTGCCATGTGTTGTGTCCGATGTTCAGCGTACTGTTACAGTCGGACAAGGAATTCTGACACAACTATGGCTGCTATTTATTGGGTTAGGATTGGAAAAGAATATTTCCCTTTCTCCCTCTTAACTACAGGCATCACACAGGAAAAAATCAATGAGATGCGGGCTGCCCCGGAGCAGGCCATGATCTCTGATATCCGAGCTATGATTGCAGCAGGACGAGATCTGAACGGGACAGATGTTCAAGGTGCTACATTGGTGAGCAGAATTGCCACAGTATCCACCCGAGTCTCTTCTGACAGCCTATGTGAATTCCAGGAGGCTGTCAATGGTGTGTGTCCTTTGTTCATCTGCAAGGACAAGTCCTGTCCAGTGTGAGCAGATAGAAGGCGAGTGGTTTCAATTTTAGGCTATCCCCTTTGAGCAACACACTGTGTCCACGAGTAAAGACGTCACAATTCAGGACCTGATCTTGCTCCCCCTTGAATCAAGGGCCAACAACATAGGAATTGCTGTATCAGATCAGAGGCCTGTCTAGTTCAGTATTCTGTCTCTGCTAGGTGGAAGTCCTGTCCACTCCAATGGGAACATGAATTTGGGAAGTCTTTGGGCAGATTTAGTCATCCTGTCAGTCCTAATCCTGTTAGCATCTGATCTGACTAATTGAAATGAGAATAAAAAGCCTCATTGACTTCAGTGGGATCAGACCTACCTGCGGGATCTGACCCCATATCTTTTTGGTTGCCCCAAAGGAGTTTTGTCACTTACACTTTCCCCAAAAGCTGGACTGCTCTAGCAATACTCTTTCTTAACTGCAGTGTGTTGTAGCCCATGTGGCCGTGACCGTGGTAATGTTACATGTGAGTTCAGAGATATCTGAGATGGCAGGGCCGTCCTTGCACTTTATGGGCCCTATGCAAATGACCCCTCTCCCCCTGCAGCTTTTGCTGGGGTTCAGGACTTCCCTTCCCTCCACCCCTGCACCTGCACACCAAGAAGTCTCTCCAGAAGACAGCTGGTATAATTTCATTTCTGCGATGTAATCCACATTCCTTCCCCATTGTGGACTGTGCACAAAGGAGGAGAAGTTCTCTTTTCCCATACACCGCTTGAAATAGAATGACCTCCTCTTAGGTGGAGGGTTGCTGCTGACCTCCATACAGTAAACTGCATAAGAGAGCATGGAGCAGGAAGAGGGTATGTTTGGATCAAGAATACAGCAGCAGACGGACAGTACTAAGAAAATCTCCCAAAGAGACCTAACCGTTCTCACAGAGTAGAAAAGATCCTGTGATTGAGGTTGCATCTGGAGAACACTCAGATGCAGTTTGTGCTCTCAGCACCAGATGTGAGAGACCAAAATCTGAAATGCAGAGTCCCTGATTTGCAAGCACTCAGGATTTCGATGTCATTGTGAGTGCAAGTAACAGCATGTGCAAACCTGTGGCTGCAGAAATGCAAGCCGGGCTATGGCCAGGCTGAAAATGTAGCCCTAGAGATCCATTCCCTAGCATCTCGGCATCTTGTCATTCACTTCAATGGGAGCTGAATCCAGTGCTGCTGTTTTCTCTTGGTCTAAACTCAGACACTGCAGTGGCATCACCTGGGTTACTTGGTGAAGAAGGAAGTTCATGAGCCTTAGGCAGCAATTCATACTCTCTGTTCCTGGTCTCTTAGCTGCACATAGCTGGGGCTAATGGCTACCTGCATGCAGCTGAGATGCTTCTAGACCATGGAGCACGGCTTGACATCCAGGACTGGGATGGCTGGGAACCTCTTCATGCTGCTGCTTTCTGGGGACAGGTAAACTTTTTTGTTGCAAGTCTACTTTGTGTGGCTGGTTCGCATCAGTGGGAGCCTGGGGCAACATTTCAAGGTGGACTACAAGTGTCCTGGCCAGAGACTGCATACTCCCTTTATACCAACCCAGGTGTTCTAGTGGGACAAGGAGAGGAAGTGTATTATGTGACACGACTAGTTCGAACAAATGCCAATAAAGCCTTAGTAACCCCCACCAGTGCATCGTCCAGAATTTTGCATATGGCCTGGCTTGGAAAACTACTCTTTAGGATGGTTTTTGAATGCTGTGAAAAATGTCATTGAGGCTGTTTCTTGTGTCCCTCCACCTGTAAAGCTGGGGGCCTACTCACCAATTATACAGAGCTCAGAAAGCCTTAAAGACCTAAACCAGCCTTTTTAGACATCCATGTTACAGCTTTAGAGTCCCAACGGTAGAAATGAGTGCAGGAGCCGGGAATCTCACTTTCCCAGTGTTGGAGGGTTGCAATGTGATCTCAGCCTATGCATGTACAGAGAAGAAATTGATTTGCTCCTGGTATTTTTTTCCTCCATCTCCTACGTTTCTGGACACTGTCTGCTAGTACCATTCCTTGGTGTATATGTGCTGGAGTTCATTGCAGATGGACACATTGCCATCCTGGCATTAGATATAGAGTGGATTTACTTCAATTGTGGTACCCCTCGGCCATGGGTTGGACTTACTGGATGTAGGTGGTATTTAAGCTGAGAGCCCCACTAAGATCCTGGTGATTCTAAGTGAGCAGCTGTCCCTGGACGAGCTGATGGGAAATTGCCCATTGGTTGAATTGGTAGGAGCTGTGCCTAGTATCTTGCCTGGACATCACTCATACCGCCACTAGTGCAGTCGGGGATTCTTGTGTCCATGAATCATGCACCCTTCTGCTCCATAGCTTGCTTTTGACCCTTGCAGCTACTGATCACCCAAACCAGGGCTGTGAATATGACTTTCTTTCCCTTGCTGCAGATGCAGATGGCAGAGTTGCTGGTGTCCCATGGGGCCAGCCTGAGTGCCAGGACGGCCTTTGATGAGATGCCAATAGGTGAGTTCTGATTCTCTCCCTTGTCAGGGTATTTTGGATCTTGGCTAAATCCCTGGATTTTCTCTAAAGAGCTAAGAAAGGAACCGTGGTGCCTCGGAGCCTGCTGGAGAGTTGATATTTTTAAAAGCACTAAAAGCTGATTTTTTTCAATTGACTTAAAAGTATAAATTCCATTGAAACTCAATGGAACTTCAGCATGTAAGTGCCTCAGTCACTACAGTGCTTTTGAAAACATTATTTCTGCTCCTGAAGATCTTGCCCACGTGGCCTCCCCATATTCAGGCCTGCCTGCTGCAGAATTGAACGTTTTGCTGCTTTTTGTTCCCTTGCATTGTTACCCGCACACAATTTTCTGTCATTCACATACTCTAGGGGCACCCCCCCGTACCTGTTTCCAGGGCTCAGGTGTAACCTCAATATTGGCACCTCCTTTTCTCTGCTCCTAGGGCTCAGATGTAACCTTTTCACTCTCCGGGTTTGTGAGGTCTTTGACCAGTGACATTTGACCTTTGGTAGTAATGTCCCACTTTACCTCTGTTCAGTAACAATCACCATAAACCGGAATGGCCACGCTAAGCACACAGTGCTCATCACTCCCAATAAAACTGATGAACTTTTCGTGATGGCCGGTCAGGATCAGGTCCATCTAGGGGATACCTGTTTCTGCACCAAGTCAGTGGCACAGGGTTGAGGGCTGGCAGCTCTGATCTTGGAGCTGTGTCCTGGAGTTGGTTCCCAAAGCACTTCCTTTTGGGTCCCAGTTTATATAGTGAAACCTGAGTTGTGCTTAGCTATGCTTTAACCAGTTATTTTACTAACATTTTACTAACCAATCCTAGCATATTGTTACATAATTCCCTAACCAATTATATCCCACTTCCTTAATTGATTTACACCTTCTGTCAGTTATAATCAGACAGGAACAAAAAACCAGGCAGAAGTCATACAACAGGGAAATGGGATCCATAAGGATAGAACAATGAAGAAATGAGGATTTCACAACCCCAGCTCTTGATAAGTAGTTTCTTGTCCGAGAGAATGCGTTCAAACTGAGTTTACTTTAACCATCTTAAGATCTGTTTCTTTGGTGATATTGGTTCCCATTAGGACCGATCTCCTTTACAGCCTGATATTATGCTATTTTAATGCAATTTAGATAGAATGAAGATGTGAATTCCTGCTTTTCACATAGGCCGTGTCCAGACTCAGGGGTTCTTTCGAAAAAAGTAGCCTTTTTTCGAAAGAACTTCCCCTGCGTCCAGACTCAAGCCGCGTTCTTTCGAAATAATTTCGAAAGAACGCGGCTTTTCTTTCGATGGCGGTAAACCTCAATTTACGAGGAAGAACGCCTTCTTTCGAAAGTTCCTCTTTCGAAAGAAGGCGTTCTTCAATGTAAAGAGGCCGTCTTCAAAAGAGAGCATCCAGACTCGCTGGGTGCTCTCTTTCGAAAAAGCGGATTTCTCTTTCGAAAGATCCGCCTGCAGTCTAGACGCGATCTTTCGAAAGAGGCTCTTTCGAACGATGCTTTTGAAAGAGCCTCTTTCGAAAGAAGCCTGCAGTCTAGACATAGCCATAATGGGCTGCTGCTCTTTCAATCTGGCTGCAGACAAAGGATGTAGGCTTCCAGTATGGCTACAGGTAGAAAAAAGGACGTATCCTTATACTCACAACACTCATGCCAGGCCCTTATGCAGGAATTTCTGTAGGGGGTGCTTTTTTTTGGTAAATGTGGACCGCAAGGGTGTGAATGCGCCTCCCATGGTTGCCCAAGTAAGCGGGGAGATCAGCCTCAACCTTCCCCTGGCCAGCCAGAGCGTGCTTAATTGAGGGACCATGAGGATGCTTTTGCACCCTTTGCGCACACCCTGTCTTGCGTACAGGCCTGTACTTTGTGCAGCCCGAAGAACTTGGGTTTTATTATCCTGGTTTTCTGTGGCCCGATACTAAACCTTGTTCTGTTCAGCTGAGTGTGTCACATTAGCTCATGGCTTGGTTTGGTTTGTGTGCTCCTTAGATTTGTGTGAAGAAGAGGAGTTCAAAGTGTTACTGCTGGAGCTGAAACATAAGCACGATGTGATCATGAAATCTCAGATGAGGCACAAGTCCTCCCTCAGCCGGAGGACCTCCAGCACGGGAAGCCGAGGGTGAGTGCGAAGCTGATATTCCCACAGATCATGCCACATGCTAAAGTGAAGAGCACCTTTGCTGTACCAAACCTGAAAGCAGAATACCCAATATTCAGTGTAATCCGATCCAAAGATAGCTGTTGTGAAGGTCAGTGGACTCTCTAAGAGGCTGAAACTGGGCTGGCTGTCCAGTGACCTTGTTTTGGGATATCGAGCTGCTTCTGGAAAAGTACTCTCCATGGCGCAGTGCAGCAGGTGCTGCTGGAAAACAGCAGATAACAGGGGAGATTCCCACCTCATAAATTATTGGTATTTGTGCCATCTTGTAATGCTTTCAAAAGATCTTCTCATGCGTGGCAGCTTTAATGACTGGAGATGGGGAAAGTGGACGAATAGCTGTGGGCAACAAAGACAAACCCATGCTTCACTTCTGCAAGTTGTGACTGAACACACGCTCTACTTAGAATGTTTATTTTCTCTGTGAATGTAGAATAGTAGTTTTTAAGCTCTGGCCCATAGAATCCCACTGGACCAGTCCACAGGTCCTTTCCTAGAACAAAACAAAGCACCCCAAGGGAGGCTGGGTGGAAAGCTGTCCACTAGCAGAGCTGTATGTGAGATCTTGTCTTGTGAGCCCAAAGCTTCCCTTTCCCTTTCTTCCCTGTAATGTGGGAGTAGGGACCTTTTTACTGCCCATGGCTGCTCAGCGGCTTAACTCATGTTCGTAACATTCTCCTAGACCAGAAGGGAAACTAAGCAGGTGCACACTGGTGTGCAGTTCCCGCAATAGCTGGCTGAGCTGCAGCAAAAGCCAGCAGGGAGCTATTGAAAGAGCTGGCAGGGACCTGGGTTGCAATAGGACAGTACCTGTAAGAAACGTTAAGTTAATTTCTCCACTGTCCTAGACACTGAAGGAAGATGTTATAAAGTGCAAAGAGAATGTGAAAGAGTTATCATGGGAAGAGGAGCTCCCTCATTGCCCATCTTGCTAAAGTCTCTGCTCCCTGCTTCTCTCCTTCAGAAAGGTGGTAAGGCGGGCGAGTCTTTCAGATCGAACCAACCTTTACAGGAAGGAGTATGAGAAGGAGGCCTTTGTCTGGCAGCAATTGGGAGCAGCAGAAGAACAGAGAAACTCAGGCTATGCTGGAGAAATCAGAGAGGCTCGATCCGACCAAGAGAACACAGATCCAGTAAGAAACCAAACTGGCATTCTAGTTTCCTGTCAAAATTCATAAAGAGTCTCAAGCCAGAGTTGTGAAGGGGCATGTTGGTTATGGGCACTTGGACACTCTGGTGATGGGTGCTGAGTGTGACTCTAGGTTATGGTAATGGCAATATTAAGGTCATACATTTCAACACAGGGCCAGATTCTAGTCCCAGCTTTGCTGATGTATACCAGGACTACTGTCCTGGAAGGGAAAGGGATGATGTAGGATTTACAACAAAATAAATGAGGCCAGAATCTGGCCGCAGAAGTCAAGCAATTGCAAAAGCTCCTATAACACTGTGTTATCGTGTACATTCAGTACACAAGTAATCAAAGATACGTAGATGTAAGGGAGGTGGGCTAATTTTTCTAGAATAACTTGATCTCATGCTCTCTGGTTGTCCGTATATAATTAAGCTACTATCCTATTGTAGTAACACAAGATTTTTGCGTTTAATTGCCTTGTTTTTAAAAAAAAGACGACAAATGTGGAACTGTCTTTCTGTGTTAACATTTAACTGTTCCAGACAGACTTTAAAGTTCACACGTTAATGAAAAAATAGGGCCAAGAGATAGTTAATTTCACCCCTTTACTGCTACTGTTTGGCTGCGGGAATGGGTTAAAAGGAAGCCATAAAAGGCACGAATCCTACAATGGGAGCTGCTTCTCGTTAATGTTTTCTCATTACAGAATTCAGTGCTGGAGAATTCTATGCTCCTTTCTGAGCTAGCTACCAAAAGCATCCAGAGTGACTCTGAACCCTCCCTCCAGAATGGACTCAGGGCAACGGCCAGCACTTACCACTACTCAGTTTCCAACGGGGACGTCTGGAAAATGCACACAGCTCCAGACTATAGTGCAAGCCAGGCACTTCCCTACAGCAGCCCCAGCAGCCCTGACTCTCAGCAAATCTGGGGTGGCTACAAGGAGCGCAGCCATCAAACTCTTTCTGAACTGAAGCGGCAGCGGGCTGCAGCTAAACTGCTCAACCACCCCTTCATCAGCACCCACTTTGGCACCAATACGGGTGGGGCAATTGAGAATGGGGGTGAGGGCACGGAGCACCTGATTGATTCCAGGACTTCTCCTTACAGCTCCAATGGGAATTCAGTTTATTACACAGCGTCCAGTGGTGATCCCCCTCTCCTGAAATTCAAAGCTCCCATGGAGGAAATGGAAGAGAAAGTGCACGGGTGCTGCAGGATTTCCTAACGTCATCGATAGCTCACTGCAGAGGAGATCAAAAGTGGATGGCCAGATTGGCTTTATTACTGAGGACGGGCTGTTTCCATCCCCACATGGAGAGACCTCCGTTAAGTTACAGAGGACTTAATGGTGCCAGTCGTTCATCTTTGAATAGTACCTTAGCCTGACAGTAACCCGCTGCAGTCAAAGGAGTAAGGCTGGAAGCGTGTGGCCCATAGGGAAGAAATGAACTACACGTTGTGAAAGGTACATTGGGGGCTCCCCGCTCTAAAGCATGAAGGGTCTTTGAAAGGCAAAACCATCTGACATGGAGTCCTCCGTTTCTGGTGGGAGCCCCCAAGCTTGTGGAATGTGACCCGCTGGGCCTGCCTCTCCCTCGTGGATGTGACAGGTGTACCCCCTGAGTGTGTGTGGTTAGCTCCCTGCATTTGTGCAAACAGCCCAGGGATTGCAAGAGCCGACTTGGAGTCTTTGGTGTGTTTCATTTGCTTTGCATGAAGGTGAAGCTGAGCATTTCACCAGTGCTTGTACTTGGGGAAGTTGTGTGATGCCTGCGTTATGGCAGCCCCTGTCAAATGCTGCAGGCCAGTGTGTGGCCCGCTCGAATTGCAATCCAGGGCTGTGCGGTACCATCAGGTTTGAGAGATGGAAATCCAGTAGAAGAAACGTCTGCAATAAAATGCTGAGTGAAAGGTTCAGCAATGGGCTAGAAACAAATTACTTGTATTACTGAGACCCTTAGGTTAGTGAAATCCATTCACTTTTAACAATGTCACCTTCCCTATTGGTGCTGCTGCTTTACTCTCGATGCTTCACTTGGCTTAAAAACTAGAATGGTTCTGTTGCTTTCTGTGTCTCCTGCACTAGCTGAGGGCTTTTGGATTTCCAGAACCTCAGAGCTCTCCTTAAATTAGGCAAGAAGGGCAAAGAAATACCTGCTTCGCTAAAAATGGCATAGAAAAATCTCCTGTCTCACTAGGTTTCATCATTTTTGTATGTGAATAGTTACCTTGTATGAGAGAGAAAATAGCTTATTTCAGTAAGCAAAAGCCATCCCCCAGCAGCATGTAGTAGTGACTTTGGGAGTAGTCTAGTGAAGCTCTGATGGACAGGAAGCCAACAACAGTGTTTTGGGGTAGCATGTGTTAAATGTGTGCCAGGTTGCATTTGAGGAATCTGTGGCTTGTTATAACACGGGGTGTGTGATTGGCTGGCCAATTCCTGCAATTGTTCCTAAGGGAGCAGAGCCCTCACCTGAATAGTGGGAGCAGGAAAACAGTACTTGTCAGGGGCGTGTCAGCTCTAGAGAAATGAACATGATTCCAGGATAAACCGGCAAAATATTCAAAAATGTTTTCAGTTGCATCTACAACATATTTGTCTGCACAAAGGGCCATTGCACACAGCCTCCATCTTTGAATGCTTGTCTCGTAGGTGAAGCTTAGGCCCCAAATTTTAAAAAAGGCAGGATTGTTTGGGTATCTGATGCCACCTTGAACCATTACTGGATAGAATCACTGTATCTACACTGCAGCTAAGGATCTGCCCTAGACCATGCAGCTTCCATCCATCATCTTCTTTCTGGCTGCTAAAGTATTCTGTTCTGGCATAAAGATGAAGCAGGATGTTAGTGCAGCCATCTCACAACCAGAAGCACTGTTCATCTCTACAGGGGAGCCTAGCAGTGTGTTAGTGAGACATGTGGTGTGATACTGGATGGAGGCGGGGGAGCATTTTGACAGTGGTGGGTGGGTACCACAGTTGCACTATGCTTATATGGGGAGAGAGGAAGCAAGAGCCAAAGGCAGAGATGCTCCATGAGGTACAAGCAGCATATGGGGCTCTCTTGGGGTCTCTCACACTCCTGGCTTTGTTTACCTTAGAGTAGAATTTGAGGTAGCACGTTTTTTAATGGAGCCTATGTCAGCAGTGCCATATCCTGTGGCACAGAGATTTGGGGCCATCTCGCCCTCTGCTGGAGAAGACAGGACATTGTACAATTCAGCGTTTGCCTTCCAAGCAGTGATGAGCATGTTACCCCAAGAAAGGTGCCAGGCTGTATCTGCAGGTCTTGGCACTTCTTCTCAGGCTGACGGTTTAGTCTTCTGGGCTCTGAGAGTCCACCTATCCTCCTGTTCGATTTTCTCCCTAAATGAAGAGAATTTTGGGATAGGGAATAGAAAGTCAGGTCAGATTTCTAAAAGCATGTTACAGTGAAGGCACTTTTTCCTAATGTATTTAATAACATACCCAGCCACTCCTCTCCATTACTCCAGGGATCTTGCCTGACACTCCAATTCATTTCCAAGGGGCCTCCCTGCAATTTCTGTTCTATTTCTTGGTGCCCTGGCTGCCTTGAATGTCTGTTGCTGCATTGATTGAACTTGAATGGTGTTTCCTTTCCCCCAGCTCTTGTATGTTCTTTTCCCATTCAACCAGGTCTTGGGAGTAGGCCATTACTCCCCTTGACCCCGCTCGAATGAGAATTGCTGGAGCAGAATTAGCTGGCACTGCTACACATCAGTTATGGCCTGTGCCAAACTCTGAACAGTTGTTAGCTGCCTTCCCAGTGAGAGATATCAGGCCATGTCTGGTTTCTTCTCACTCTTACCAGCTGTAAATCAGAAACAACTCCACTGAAGTCAGATTATACCGGTGAAAGGAGTGCCAGGCTTTACATCTCCGTGACAGTGGTTGTTACACGAAAGCAGTATTAATCCAGTAATTTAGATAAATAGCACTGTCACCTTGGTTTAATGTGAAATTCCAGGATTTCATCATTCCAGCTAATGCTGTGATGTCTCCTAAGCAACAGTGACTTTTCTGTCAGGGGAGGAGAAGAAGTACGAGGTGCTCTAAATTGCACAAATATTCCCTTAATTGGGCTACTGTGACATTGGAATCGTAACATTGGCCTTAGAGCTGCTTAATGTGGCTCTTCTAGCTCTGGGGCCGCAGATATTATCTTGGTGATAACTTTCTCATTAGCTGTCTGATGGGGGTCTCATGTAGTGTCTTTTATCTCCACTCAGATGGGAGAAGAGCCCAAAATTAATGGATGTTCCAGGGGCTGCACCATGACAGTAATAACCTTTATTGCATGGAGCAATTTGTGAATGGGACAGTCAATCTAAGTTCCTTTCCATGGCTACTTAAGGATGTGAATCAATTTGAAGCTTGGGATAAGTTTTCATAGAAGGGTGTAAGGGAGTTGCTGGCTCGAAGACCTCAATGGCCATGGGACACCAGCATACATGGGCAGGGCATAGACAACTTAAACTTGTGTGCGAAGTGGGACTAGTAAGTACTGAATGGATAACTGAGCACAAAATGGGGATTTAATCCATCTGCAGGTATTTATTTGGTAGATGCAAATGCAGGTTTTCATGGGTAGAACTGATGCACTGGCACTTCTGAAGACATATTGCCAATCCAGCAGGATGCTTCCTTTATTCTGTGGTGTACAATAGTAGATACTCAACTATTTTGCTCGAGTTTTTAGTGCCACTAAAAAGCTGTTGAGAATAGAAACAGTGTGAGGATTTGCATGTCTAGCATTTAGGTTAACAGAAAAAAATCTTTTAGCACTCTGTTCGTGGCCACACCATTCGAGCTCTGTTCCCCTATAAGCCTACACAACTGTTTGGCTCAGCCTCTTTGGTGTACAGTCTTCTCCTTCATACATATTCCCTTGTAGGCAAAGGCAGCCTGCCTCTGTTAAAATCTGAGTGACAGCAGGGAAGCAGATCAGACTCCATCTTTCTTAGACATAAGCCCAGAGTATAAATTTCAAATCTGCCCTTCCCCAAACTTCTGAGGAGGTTGAAGCCAGTGACCACCGCCAGAGCACTGTGTGGGCACAGCGTAACTGCATGCAAACCTTCATCATGCATTAGGCTCTAGTGCTGCTAGTAAGCTAATAGTGAGCTGGAGAGAGCTCCAGTTGCCATGGTGAAGGACCACCTTCAGATGCATAATAGTGCCTGGGAGCAGTCTTTGCCTGTTCTTGATGCAGCCAAGCAACACTCCTAGCAATAGACCATTAACAGTTAGAGATGGGCTTGAACTATGCAGTTTGGATCTCACTTCCAACCTTTCCTGTTGGAATTTGTTGTCCCAACCAAGCTCCTAGAGCTTGGCCTTGATCTGAATTTCCTCCAAAGGTTTGGGTCTAGTTTTCTAGCTTGGGCCCTGATGTGTTACACAGGGCAGAGAATCCCATGTTAGGGAAGGAAGGGATGATCACAGGGAGAGTTCTGGTAAATAGCAATAATGAGACAGGACAATACCCAGTGGGGTTGACGAATTTTTTTTAATGCAAACAGACTTTTCACTGACAAGTTTGCAGTAGAAGTAAGCACTTATTATCTCAATTGCATACGCCTTATTCTTAGCACACTTCAGCTTGATGTTGGGCATCTATTCCCCCAGCGCTCTGCGTTGGAAAAACTATTAGTCATCTACTGAAATCAGACTAGCCCATGTAGGGAAGCACTAGAACTATTCTTGAGCAGATCTCAGTGGCTTAATTGGTGTCAGGCTACATTATGGGGTTCTCCCTTGTCTCTGGGTACATGTAGATACTACCATGCTGGCTAAAAATAGCTTAAGTGCACCTGGCTACGAGAATGCAACTACTCTGTACAATTGGCTCAATTGTTTTGACAAAATGGCTTTTCAGAAGAAAATCTCTTTTTTTCTTCTTCTTGGGCTTCATCGACTTCCTATGAAAATTGTTCAATTTGAGTTGCAGATTTTGCTTCTTTTGTTCCTGTATTTGAATTGAAATAAAACAAATTTTCAGCAGTTCTGTGATACCTGGAATAAACGTTCAAGTTTTGTTAATTTGGGACCATGATCAAACCTTAGATGTTCAGCACCAGGAGAGGTTGGTTTTGGTTCACTGGTATAGAGAGGGGAATATGGAAGGTTATATTTAGGTCTGGCATACATCTGAGTTTCATCTCTGGTTCCTGTCTGCTAGCAGTGACTTGATTCCAACACTGAGTCTGCTGCCAACTTTAAAAGCTTTATTTTTCTTCAGCTCTGGGGCAAGCAGTATGAGCTCTAAAATGTTCTTCCTGAAGTATTATCTTGCTAATAACTGGCTGATTTGTAAATGAAAATTTCTGTAAGGCAAAAACACCGGGTTAGCTTTAGTTTGCTCAGATCATATGAGTGCAAAATGAAATCCAAGTCCTTTGTGTGTGAACAGAAATTGGCACATCACATTTGTTCCTCAAAGTATTACAGTGTTGTACAGTAAGTGCCCAAACACAATTATAGTACCACAAGATGTACTCCATTACTACAAGACACTGTAATTTTTCTAATGCTGTAGAATGGGATTTGGAGTTACTGAAGTTTCCAGGCTTGATCCTGCTGTCTTCACACAGGTAAAGCTGCTAATATAGTTGCCTACACAGGAAGAACATGATTGGATTCTTTGCAGGTGCATCTGCTACTGCAAACTTGGAGCTTACTATTCTCCACGGTTCTGGTTCTATTGGTGATAGCAATGGTGGACGAACTAGCAAAAAGAAGTCAGGCATTTTCACTATGTGGTGTTCAGTTCCTTGCCTAACCTGTGTAAACTACCACTCCCACCTGCACCAGTGAAGACTTTTTCAAACAGCCAGTGCAGATGCACCTCTAATTGGACCGTATCTGACTTCCCAGAACCTAAATGGCAATTTTTTCAGTTTTTCCAGGAGAAAGAAGCAGTAAACTAACTTCGTTGGGTTCTGTAGGCCTTGTACAGCTAGGTTCGGCTGCTGCATATCTAGGACATGTCAAAAGGCTGCCCAGTCCTCTGCAATAATTCATGACTCCATTGAGCTGTAGTAAATGATATATAAATAAAACTTGACAAAATGTATTTTATGTGAAAAATAATATAAGAGAACTGTATATTGTATTTGCAGCTTTTGTGTATAAAATGGCATTTTGGCAATCAGAGTAATATATTTAAAACTTTTTAAAAAGATATTTGATATTGTATGGAATTAACTTCATATTGCTACTATAAGAATGAAAAGATGGTTTCTTAACATGTTGAAGCAACAGATTAAATCTGAGTGTATATAAATCTCATGCCAACAAGATACGTATGACAGTATTAGCATCTGACTTCTAAGTGTCTTTAATAGAATGACTGAACTTTTTTATTTAAAAATATATTAAATTTCTTTTGATAATACCAGGAACTGCAGATGGGGGTCTTCATTTACTGTTTTAATGTGTTTGAAATCTACAGCATTATTGTTAGTATAACAGTATACCACCATTATTTGGACTGTGCGCCTAAATGTGTGATCTCTTATGATGCAGCCATGAACTTTGCCA